GGGGCTGGGGCTCCGCTCCGCCCGGCCCGGCCCGGTGCTGCGGCGGCCAGCGGGCGGGATGAGCAACGGGCGCCCGGCAGCACCTGGAACGGTGCCCCGGTGGCGGGGAGGGAGGGGCGGGATGCCCAGCGGTGGCTCCGCTTGCCCGGCCTCCTCGGGTCTGCGCTTCGCTGCTGGCAGCTTTGTCCCTCCTGTGCTTCCAGCGGGGACTCCCTAACCTTTCTGTTACTTTGATCTACTGTCTAATGAACCGAGAACGGAAGATGCGTTTAAGCTGTATTAGCATAACTGAATGCATTCTGCTTAGGCATTCCTCAGTTTGAACTGCTTGCTTGACTTTTTTTTCTTCTTCTTCTTTTTTTCCCCGACTTAGATTCAGTTTAAAAAAAAGGCACTTGAAAACTGGAGTAAGATTCTTTAGTTTCCTCATTTTTTTCTGAACTGGTACAACTTTGCCATGTACAAATGGTGTTACTCCAGAGCCAGGGCTTGAGGATTGCACTGTTTCTGGACTCTTTTTATCTACAATCTAAATGCACACACAAATAACCTGCCCGTGCTAACGGCAGCACGTCTCTTGTCCATTGTTCGTCTGGCCTACGTCAGGCTAAGTAACTTGTGTAGATTTTTTTTTTTTTCCTTCTTAGCCTTTAAGTGACATCTGTAAACGCAGGGACCTTACCTGGGACAATGAGATCTCAAAACTAGTTGTAGTGGAATTGCTACAGCACAGTGTGCATTCCAGATGCAATTGTAGGTTGTCGTAGGTATGTATGCAAAACCAGAAGGGTCTGTAATGGAGTAAAACTAAGACTCTTCCAAAACCAAAGCCAACTTAAAATATCTGAAAATAGTTTTGTACAAAGCACTTATTACTTTAAATTGTCTTTTATTTTAATGCTTCTGAAGAACTTTGCTCCAAATGTTGCCTAAAAGGTCACTGCATTGTGTAAAACTAAGATTTAATTTGAATGGACATGCTTATCCTTTAGGATGTGTCTGCAGTGTTGGTGCAGAAGAAAAGATTGAATTGGTGAATGTGAGAGTCAATTTCAGGCAGTTCGGTTAAATCTGTTCAGTGGACACCCATTCAGAATGGAAGTGGCTTTAATTTAGTTTGCCTTAAAGAAAAATTTCTGTAGGTGAACCCTAAGGCTACAATTAATCATAAAAAAAGTATGGATCTGTATGAATGTTCATTAAATGGATGACTGATTAATAGGGTAAGCAATTTAATCTTAGATTATTAAATCAGAAGTGAACTAGCTTACTTGGGTTGGAGCAGTGGTGCTTTCAGAAATCTGGAATGTGTTTTTCGTACGGTTTGTTGCCATACTTAATATCTTCAGGACTGGACAACTTATTGTGCAACACTGCTGACTAACCTGCTTTGAAAGAAAATCTGGAAGTAGCAGATCTATTTTTTTCCAAAGTAGATGTAAAACTTTATTTTGTTTCAGTTGAATGCCTTTGGTGTTTACCTATAATTTTCCATTTTTTATTCTTTAACAACAACAAAGTTTATTCAAATTACATACGAAGTTACTGCTGTCTCAGGGCCTGAACTTACTACAACTTATTAAAATAACTCATATTTTATAAACCACAAACATGACCCACGGAAATCATTGGTCAGCACTTCTTGGTATGCTAAATCAGCACTAGTTTCTTCTGGGACATGTACTCCCCTCCTCCCTCTAGTTTATATATTTGGCTCCTTTGCTCTTGGGAAACCAGGAGTTGAGGAAAAAACAAGTTTTCCTTGTTTTCTGTCTTTGAAGACAAATTAAATTGAGATGATGAGAGCTGTTGGTTCTAAAACTACTGTAGGAGATGGGAACCAAAAGCTGGTTCAAATTACTATGTATAAATAAGTCTTCAATCAGTTAGTTTCAAATGCAGGAGTCATGCTGATAAATTCACTTTTGTGTTATGGATACAGAATGTTTGAATTATTTTTTTATTTCTAATAAAGTTACGAGAGCAAATAAACTAACAAAGTCTAGTTCAATACAGGCTTGTATTTGGGTCTCTGATCATCTCTGCTGCAAACATACTGTCTTTCTCTTCCATGACACAGTCAGTCCCTTTGCCACACCTTTTTAATACCTTTAGCAACTCTTGCTTTCCCGTCTTCACTATTGCCTTACTTAAACACCTTCCAGGTTTTTTTTTTTTCCTCCTCCTCTCCCTCTATTATGTTGCTTGTCTACCTTCTTGGCCTGCCAGCTAGGCAAGAGGTTTTTTCTTGGTTTGGTTTTGTCACGTGGTGATGTGCTGCTGCAGCTAGCATGCCAAAGGTTTGTGCTGTGGTGCCCTCACCGATGAAGATGCTGGGAGAGCGAAGGATTCTTCCATGCTTTTGCTTCCTATTTCCATAGCCTGTGGGAATATTGTATTCTTGATGCCTCTACCAGTGTTTAGTTGAAATAAGCTAGTATGTCCACAAGTTGCTGGAGGAGAAGCAGAAGGACAGCTGGGTGGCATGATCACATAAGACCAGTTGCCTAGGGAACAATGATAACATGTTTTTGTGCAGTAGAATTTCCAAAACTTCCATGCAAATTCAGCTTGAAACAAATGAATAATTGAGAAGGGTGATTGTTTTGTAAGAAATAAGTTCCTGGACCATCTTCTAACTTAAAAATGCAGAAATCTAAAGACTGTGTAACTGTGTGAAGAGAAATAGAAGTCAGTGTTCTATTTCTTGTGAAAACATCAAATTGCGTAAGTCAGAATTATCTTTATTTGGGGAAGTAACAAGAATAGACAAAGCAAGATTAAAATTTGTGACTTAACTAAAATTTCAAGCATGGTAATTTAAGCACGATTTCAGTAAGTTTCATATAAGTTTAATTTGTGAACGAGCAGGCGTGTTTATATCTGCATTGTACCAAATTTGATTGATTTTGTGTAATTGCTTATGCAAAACCCTTGAGTATTTTCTGGTATGAAATATATCCATTGTGTATTGAATAAGGTTGTGGAAACATGTTGTGAGCTCTAACAATTAATTGAAAGAGGAGTTGATACAACACTAGGAAATCAGGTAAAAATGCTAGCTTTATGACAAATTAACAAGGTATTTTTAGCAATGAGCATGCATTAACTCATGAGTTTTGGGACAGCCTAAAGTAGGTACAACTTATTCTGTGTGGGTAATCCAGATATGTATTTAGTGATGTTGCTAGTTTTTCTGAAAAGAAACTCTGTTTTGGACAAAGTTCTGTGAATAATTCTCAGTGCTCTGTTGGCTCTTGCTGCATATGCTATTTTTTTGTAAACAACGATTTTGCTTTGAAAAGCAGCTGGCGCACATTTATTCCTTTAGTGACTTGAATATTGTGTTTGTACTATAAATGCCATCTGTTTCACACAAAGTTGATTTTATTGCAGCAGTGTGTACTGACCTTTTATGGTTTAATAGAATATGGTCATCTTGTGTACTGAAATGCTGCAATGCATACAGTAGGTGAGGATAAACAAAGCACTGTTCTTGAGTCATTTGTAAATGAGTAAAGCATTTTCTTGGTAGACTTCAGAGCTAAGAATTATAACTGGTAATTAATAAATACAACGTTTACATAAGTGAGTATCCTTTTTTCAGGTTTTTAAGTGACATAGTCAATGTGATTGAGTTATATATTTTCCAGAAGTTTTTGCTTGCTTATGGGGAATGACAGGCTTTTTAGAGCTAAGATTTTAATGTAGAAAAACTCTGGATTCGTGTAGAACAATACGGTGGCAAATGCGGGTCATTGGATTTGTTTGCAGTTGCAGGTGTGTCTGTATTCTGCCATTTCTTCTATGCATGTTCCAAACGTATCCTGCATGCTTGCATAAATGAAGCAGAGCAGTAGCACAGTTAAATCAAAGCTGATTGGTTTTAACTTCAGGCAAAAGAGTTTTAGAATTGCCTTGCAAATAATCTGTGCATGTGGTGAGTGTGTAAGTGACTCTGCCTTGTTTTCTTTGCAGTATCTGAAAATCTGCAAATGGGACCTGTATCTCCAGCTCTTCTGATATAAGCCCCTTTTTATGTTGTTGTTGTTCTCAGTTTCATTGCTCTGTGGAATCATTTCACTTGCTGTGTTGTGGCTCTCTGCAGATGCTGAGTTGATTACGGTAGTGCTGCCTGTTTTCTCTTACTACTGCATTACATTGCTTCATTTCAGATTTCAGCTTACGTTGCATACTTGCTATTGGTTTAACCCTAAAATATGTCATTTCTGACAAACAGCTGACAAAAGGGTGTTAATTAATATTGCATTCCAATTGAAATACGTAGTATCGCTTAAGAGCAGTTGAGACATCTTGTATATTTTTAGTTCACAAGCTAGAGGGAGGTTGCTTCACTAACTTGCAGCTGGGTGTGGCATGGGGTTAACCATATTAATTAAA